GGAGCCGGCCGACCGAATTTCGATTAGCCGGCCCTACCTAGGAGCGACCTATACTAGCGCCCGGCCCGGTAACCGGATATTACCTGCCCTACTAACTAACGGACCGATAAGCCGATATAACCGCGGCTATACGGCTGCGACGCGGGAGCTAGGGTAAATAGAGGCGCCCGCGAGTTAGGCCCCCGGAGAGAGACTACTACCTATAACCCTAGGCCCGGGCTAGCGAGCCCGGGCCGCGGCCGCTTAGGATAGTAGCGGCCACGGCCTAAGAGGGCCCGCGCTAAGACGCGATTTCGCGGGAGGAGCCCGCGGCAGCTAGCGTAAATTTCCTACGTACTACTACCACGACCTCGTTCGAGGCGGACCTATACTAAAAGAGGGGAGGGTTTTCCCCTAAGCACTCTAGTTTTTCCCTCCTATTTAATATTAAAGTTCTAGATACCTCTAGCTAGGTCCTTAGCGTAATCTTAATAATAATATATAATATTAATACTACTATTATTTATAGTAGAATTAATAGGATAATAGTATATAATAATATCTATTATATTAAAAAGGCTTACTTAGGATTAAACGGGTATAGGTTAAAGGTAGACTTCTTAGTTTCTACTTAATATATATTAGTAAAAATATAAGTATCTATATTAATACTTTATTTTATATTATATTAAGGGAAAATAGTATAATAATTATTATAATTAACTTTGCTTAATAGATTTAAATAAGATCTTTAATTTTTCTACTTATAGTATTTAGCTCTTTTTATTAAAATAATTTAAATAATAATAATAATAATAATAAAACTAAAACTAAGGAAATTATAATTTCTAAATAAATAATTTAGATACTATAAATAATAATTTAAAGAATAAAAACTTAACTTATTTAACTATAAAAATAGCGGTTTTAAATAATTTAGTAGAATATAATCTATAGAAAGTAGCTAATTTATCCGCTTATATAAAACTAAATACGTTTAATATATTTTCTATTATCGTAGATAATTTATTTAAATATTAAGCTATAAAAATATAATATCCTTATAAAGTAATATATATTAAAATAGGAATAAAATTATTTATAAAAAGTTACTTAAAGAATAATAAGGAAGACTTTTAAAGATATAATAAAGATACTTTATATATTATAAGGAAAGGTAATTATTTAGATATTAAATATTTATTTACTATTATTAAAGATACTAATATAAGTATAGTAAGAGGTTTAAGTAAAAAATCTTATATAATAAGTCCGATTAATTTTAGATTATCTAGCTATCTATTAATTCTATTTAATTTATATTCTAAAAATTTTAATATAGAAAATACTTTTAATATAATAATAAAAGATAGATATTTACTATCTTTAGAATAAGTATAGGTTTTAAATTTATATAATATATTAAAGGAATATCTCTATTAAAGTCTAAAGCTTAATTATTATAAATAAATATACTAAAATTAAGGAGATAGGGTAGCTTTAAGTACTACTAATTTAAATATCGTATTAGTTTAAGTCCAATTATCTATAAAATAGAGAATTTATTTCTTTTTATATAATATATAATAATATTAAAAAAATAAAAATTAGAAAATTTTAAATATAATTTAAACCCTAATTAAAGAACTAAATTTATATAAGTATAAAATAGAGGGGGAGGATATTTTCGTATATATATAGGAATATATAAAAAAAACATTCTATAAGATTATTAATTATACTATCTTTTAAGGTAAAATTATATATAAAAGATCTAAGTTTACTATTAGAAATTAAATCTTTTTTTAAAAATAACGGTTATATTTATATATATAAAACTTTTACTATAGTATATATAAATATAAAGATTTTATTAATATAGTTATTCCTTATTTTAATAAATACTTTATCTCTCTTATAACTAAAAAGCAAAATAATTTTATTATTTTTAAATAAATTTTAAATATTATAAATAAAAAACAATATCTTAATATAATAGGTTTATCTAAAATTATTTAGTTAAAAGCCTTACTTAAAGGCTTACCTTATAATATAAAAGTATTATTTCCTAATTTGCTTTTAATAAAAAGACCTAAAAGTTTACTTATTTTAGTTAATATAGATTATTATTAATTTATAGGGTTTTTCTTTAAAAAAGGATGCTTTTTTATAGGTATTTATAGATCTAAAATAATTAAAATAGGTTATTATATTAAACTATATATAAGAGTAGGTTAATATTAAAGAGATAAAATATTAATTAATTTATTTACTAATCTATTTAGTTATAGTTAATTAATAGAAAGAGAAAATTTAATAGAATTTTATATATCTAATTTTAAAGATATATACTTAAAAGTTATACCTTTTTTTTAGATATAAGGTAATAGGTAATAAGTTATTAGATTTTCAGGATTTTTTCCGAATTACTAATTTAGTTAAGGATAAAGCTTATTTAACTAAGGAAGGACTTAAAGAGACTATAATTATAAAATCTTAGATAAATAGAAATAGATATTAATATCTTAAAGAATTTTATAGTTTTCTTATATAGCTATCCTTAATAGATTAGGATTATAAATTTTAATCTTCTTATTAAAAATAATTAATCTAAATAATCTTTATTATTTTAAATTAAAAGTAAATATAACTTTAGATAAAAGATTATATACTTTAAAGGTATTATATAATAATAAAACTATTTATTACTTTAGTACTAAAGCCTCTTTATATTTAAATATAAGTAAAATAATATTAACTAAGTATTTTATTAAAGATAAACTATAAAAAAATAAATTTAAGTTTATAATATTATCTTAATATATAATTTAAGATAACTCTTTTTAATATTATTTATAATTTATATAGTATAAAAGGAAATAATTACTTAACTTATCTAAGACTTACTATATCTTATAATCGTCCTAAAAAGAAATAAATTTAAGCTAAAAATAAACTTAGATTAGGTATCTACCTAATCTAATATAATTTAATTAATAATAAAACTTATATTAGTAATGCTTATAATTTAATAAATAGATTTTTTAAATATTTATCTTATAATTAAACGAAAGAGATATATAAATATATTAGTAAATACCTTACTAAAGTATAGTTATAATAATTTTAAATTATAAATTATAAAATATTATATAGTCCTCTACTAACTAGTATAAGCTACTAGTAAATTAATTTAATAAGAATAATACTATATTAATCTCTTAGCGCTTAAATATAATATATTATAATTTATAAACTATCGTTTAGGATATAAGTATTTATAATAGGTTTTATAAAATATAATAAATTATAAACCTAGACTTAAGACTCTATAAAAAATAAGATTAGCTAAATAATTATAAGGTTACTATATTAATAAATAAAAAAGATAATAAGATAAAAATATTTCCTTCTACTATTTATAATACGGCTAGATATTTAAATACTTTTTACTAGAGCTTATAATATTATACGGATAATAATATATTATTTAAAAACACTTTTATAGCTAGGCTTCGCCTTACTTTTAAAATTAAATATTAGTATAATATTTAGTTATTTATAAATAGCTATAATATTTCGTTGTCTAATAGGTAAGATATAAATTTTTAGTATTTAGTATTAGGTGTTTAAATTACCTTAAGATAAAAAGAGAAAGTATTTCTTTTTATAGTCCTTTAGTAACTAGCGTAAGCTCTTAAATAAAAATAGTAATATAAATTATAAAAATAATAATCTAAATAGAACACCTATTATATTCTACTTTAATATCTTAAAAAGCAAATATATAATTTATAGAGCTTTATTAAAATATATTTATAATATATTTAATTTATAAATTTTATAATATTATAAACTAAATTTATTAATAATAAGGGAATAATATTAAAGATAGCTAATTTACGTTAGGGTGTTAAACCGAAACTCTATTAAAATTTAAATATCGTAAATTTAAACTAAAAGCTTTAATAAATCTAAAAAAAACTATAGTAAATAAAGTTCCTTTACCTATAATAAAAATTAACTACTTATTAGTAATAAGCCTTATAACGGTTCTAGTAAATAAGAAGAATAATAATATAAAACGATATCCTTTTATTAAAAGTATAGTAAAAGATCTAAATACTAATTCTCTTAGTTTAATATATTATATAAATAAAAATATATTCTTTAAAAATAAAAATAAAAATAAAAATAAAAATAAAAATAAAAATAAAAATAAAAATAAAAATAAAACTATAAATATATTTTTATAGCTAGGCTTCGCCTTACCTCTAAGAATAAAGTATTAATATATTTATTTATTATTTTAAATAATAATAATAATAATATATTATATAAATTAATATATAAATTATAAATTTTATATATTAATTAAAGGGTATTATAATAAATATAATTTCTACTATAAGGTAATTATAACTTAATAGTAAAGTAATTATTTATAGTATAGTCGGTCTTAGTTTAATTTTAGGTATTTACCTATTTATTCCTTTTTATAAATATTAATACTTATAATATAAATAATAATAATTTAAATAATAAATTAAATCCTAATTAAGTAACTAAGTTTATATAAAATAATAGGTTAGGGTTAGGATGTTTTTATATATAGATTAAAAAAGTAAGTCTTATATTATAGGATAATATATTAATATATATTTTACTTTTATATATAGGAGATAATAATATACTTTTATAAATTAAATCTTTATTTAATAGTATAGGTTATATTTATATAAAGGATAAATCTACGGTCTATAAAGTATAAAGATATAAAGATCTAATTAATATAATTATTCCTTATTTTAATAATTATCCTTTAATAGCTAAAAAATAAAATAATTTTATATAGCCCTCCGCTAAGTAGCGTAAGCTCTTAAAACCTAAGTTATTTTAGTTCGATTCTTAGTATTTACCCTTAAATAAATATAAATTAATTAATATTTTTAGGTTTTATAGCTTATAAGCTTCTTAGTTTAACCCTTACTAGCCGAGTTAAAATAAGTATACTTATAAATGCCTTAGTAGTTTAAGGGTAAAAACACTAACTTTATATATTAGTAATAAAAGTTCGATTCTTTTCTAAGGCTTTAACCTTTAAGGTTAAACTATAAGCTAACCTATATACTATATAGTAGGGCAGTATTCCTTAATTTTTAGGTATTTAAACTTATCCTAATTTTATTTTTAGGCTTTAATCTTTAAGGTTAAATTAATTTTTTTAACTATAATAATAATATCTATCTTATCTCTTTTACTCTTTAATACCGTTAATTTAAGACGTAATATATCTATTTTATTTAATAGAATAGCTATAATTATTTTAATTTATTATATTTTAAATAAACTATCCTCTTTAACTATAATTACTAAAGGTATAAGTATATATAGAGGTTTATTATTAGTTATAAATATTATATAAATATTCTATATATTTATATTTTTAATTAGTATATTAATATTAACTTTAACTAGTTTCTATCTTAGAAAGGTTTAAGTATCTAAATATTTATCTCTAAAAAAATTATTATTATATAAATTTATTTATTAAAATATAAAAATAATTAATAAAATAGGAGAATATCTAAAAATAATAGAATACCCTTTAATATTATTATTTATAATAATAGGATTAATATTCTTAATATCTACTAATAATTTAGTTTCTATATTTTTAGCTATAGAATTATAAAGTTACGGATTATAGTAATAGCTACTAACTTATTTAAATAAGCTAGAAACTAAGGGGTTTACTTTAACCCCTTAAAGATAAAACTTATTTACTTTAGTAAGTAACGGTAGCTTATTTTAAAGGGTATAATAGTAAGAGGCTTATTTTTTAAGGTAAAGCCTTTAGTATAGTAGCTAAGGGTCTTCTTTAATTCTAGGCTCCTATTTAAATAATATATTAAGAAGAAGGTAGCTTTTATATAAGCTGCCTTTAAAAGACTATCTTACCTAACCTTTATATAAAAAGGCCTATTATTTAAAGCCTTTAGATAGCTCTACTAAGCTTATATAACCTCTATAGTATACTATAGGGCCTAGCTTTAATATAGGGGGCCTAAGACATTTAAGAGCCTTATAAAGCTATTTTAAAGGCTATAAAACTAAGCTCTCTTAAAGGTCTAAAAGGCCTTTAAAGGATCCCTTATTAAGGCTTTAAAAGCTAAAGCGGCCTTACCGCTATTAAAGGTATAATTTAAAAAAGTATACCTCTCTTATACCCTCTAAACCCTATACTTCTTACTTAGTTACCCTATAAAGCAAGCTTATAACCTAGCTATATAAGATAACCTTACTAACTTAAGCTTTAACCTAAGGGCCTTAAGCTATATTAAGCTATATATATAGCTCTTCTACCTCCTTAAAGGCCTAGTAGCCCTTATAGGACCTAATTATAACTTAGAAAAAAGGAAAGCTAGGTAGGAGCCCCTATAGGCCTTAGAGCCTAAGGCCTTTATTATAATAATAAAGGCCCTTAAGCCCTTATATTACGACTACGGCTACTAAGCCGCTAACGGTCGACCGCGTTAAGCACGTAACATAGTCTAATAGATAAATAGTCGGCACGACTATCTAATAAATATAGGATCGAGGGGATTATAGAGATCTAAGTAATCTAGGATTAATAAGATTACTACGCTCTATACGATCTAACGTTAGGGATTATAGCTAGGCCTATAATCTAAGGATAGTCTCTATAGGTATATATAGCTACCTACTTTTACTCCTTTAGATAAATAGCTCTCTAGCTTTTAATATAGATCTTTATTACGATTCTATCTTTAATTCTAATTACTTAGTTATAGTCTATAGTCTATAACCTCCGACTTATTACTAATATAATATACTTATTATTGCTTAGACTACGCCTTATTATATCTACTAATATAAACCCCTCGATAGGTTTATCCCTTAAGAATAATACTAGTCGTTATACGTTAAAAGCTCTTATTTAGTATAATACTACGTTACTTTAAGTAATATCGTAACTATTAATATACCTATATAGTAAGCTAGATTAACTAACTCTAGAGCTACTATATCGCCTTAGGATATAATACGCGAAATTATCGCCCTTCGATATAAGGTATAGTTACTTAGGAATAGAGGAGGTAATAGATAAGTTAGGGACCTTAGAGAAGTAGTTAAACTAAAATAGCTAGGACTATTCGATAGTACTTATAGCACGCTTCGAGACTTTCTTACCTAACTTAAGGCCTACTACCGGTTTTACCCTACTAAACTCTTAGACCTAGTCGAAAAGGTACTCTACGTAGGAAATTATTTATCTAGAACAGCACTCGCTTAGTTTAGACCTATTATAAGAGACTTTCTCGATAACTAATTAACGCAATAAGATAACGAGATAGATAAAGTCTTTACTAGTTTCTAAGGATTTAAAGAAGCTATTATAAAAGTATTTAAAATAACTAATAAGGAACGAGAAGCTAAATAGAAACTCTAAGAACTTTAATAAAGGATCTTAGTATCGGATTATACTACGAAGTTCTATTAAGTTACCTTAAAGCTTAATTAGGACGACGAACCCCTTATATTACGATTCTATAATAAGCTTAAAGAAGAAGTTAAGAACGAGCTCTATAAGGAAAATCGACCTAATAACCTCTTAGACTATATTACTATAGTAGTATAAATCGACGATAGATAGTATACGCGACGCTAAGAAAAGAAATAAGGAAGAGGTGTTACGGAGTAAGTAGAGGCGTATACGTAGGTGCCGTCCGTAGGATAATATTAATAAGTTATATAGAGCTCTTCTATACGCGGCTAGCCCGCCCCTATACTTATAGGATCCGGCCCTCTATACGTTATTACCTATAATAGTTAAAGACTCTTATATAATGCCCTCCCTTAAGCGCGGCGTAGCGCTGCCCTATTAATAGCTCCTATATAATTAGGCCCGTGCCGCGGGCTCTTCCCTACCTTTTCCCGTTAATAGGGCCGGCCCTACTAGCCTTATTATCCCCGCGCCCGTTAGCCTAAGTAGCTAGGACCTAGCTCTATACTCGTCGGCCGGCTAGCCGTTTAAATAGGGGCGTAACCTATTATATACGCCCCTAAGTAGCCGGCGGCTAGTCCGGACCTATATAAGCCTTAGGTTGCCCGTCCCCTCTACCTTAGGTAGTATCCTCTACTAAGGGGTATATAAGGCGGCATCCCCCCCTTCCCCCTTCCCTTCCTTCTCTCCCTTCTTTAACTATAGCAATAGTATTAATAGGTAAGTTCCGCTCTACCTAGGGCGTTAGTCCGTTCCTAGCTATACGGGCCGCTCTATTAACGTATACTTATAGTAGTAGCGGTAGTAGTAATAATAGCCCTATAATAATAATAACTCTAACTAGTAAGTTCCGCGCTTATAGAGCGGGAGGCCGTATCCGTCGTGTTACCTCCCGCGATAGATATATCCGCCTCTCCTACCTCCTCCTTCTCGGAGCGTGCGGAGTCGTTCGTTAACGCCGTGCTAGCCGCGGCCGACGACGACTCCGCCGCTACCGCCGCTCCTGCCCGCGCCGCTGCCACCGCTCCTACCGCCGCCGCCGCCGCCTCTACTACGCTATTCGCTCTTACGTCGCCCCTTAGGGTAACGACGCCGTCCCCGCCGCTACCCGTGACGCCCGGCCCCTCGGCCCCCGCCTCCGTCTCCGCTACCCCCGTAAGTCCGTAGTTAGGTAAGCGTAATAGACGTTGTCCGCTAACCTCCTATAGTATAAGCGCTAAGTATAGGCCGGCGCCGCCCGCTCGGCCCCCTATATGCGTTATACGTCGTAGGAGCTCGACTACTCTAACTAGGCCGGGCGCCGCCGCGGCGGCAGCTGCTACTAGTACGCGCGAGCCGGCCGCGCCTATAAGGCGGCGCCTCTTATCTTACTCGCTACGGCGTCGGCTTAGAAGGCCGGCTTATATAGGTAGGTGCGGGGGGCTACTAAGAAGCGCCTTACCGCCGCCGCCGCCGCCTCTCCGCCCTATAATAAACGCTATTTTTATCTCCGCCCATACTATTACGCTTATATTGCCTATATTACCGTAACTGCCCCCTCCGCTATACCTACTTTATAGTCCTAGCCTAGGCTACTATTAGTAGTCCGCTAGTCCGTCGTTCTTATCTACCGTTCTAAATAAAGCTTCGAACTTATCGAGGGCTATAGTTCCCATAAACTTACGTATAGGTTCCTACGTAGGGTCGAGATACCCGCGCTACTTAACGAGGACCTCCTAGCGTTTCCCCCTACCGACCTTTTTCTAGCGCGCGGCCTATATCTCTTTAACCTCGAACTCGTCCTCTCCCTCTACCTCGATTACGGGCGGTTAGGCGTCTACTACTTCTTATCTAGGCAGCGGGTTAGAGGAGGCTCTACGAAGGAGGTCTACGTTAATCTTATTATAGACCCCTATTAAGAGACTATTAAGCTCTATAACCTACGGGCTAATAACCCTCTATACTATAAACTTTGCGTATAGCTAGTTAAGCTTCTTCTTTAGCCGTGCCGACCTATAGTTACGGAGGTCTAGCTATACCTTATCTCCTACCGTAAACCTATCTACTAGGGCCCTAGTCTTATTAGCGTGCTGCTCTTAATCTTACGCCGCGGCGGCTATCGCGGATTAGCAATAATCTATAGTCTCCTATAGCTTTCGTATAAATATAGAGGCGCGGCCCTCCGGTAATAAATTACTATACTACTCCGCTACTACGTCTATAGTAAAGGGAACTAGTAAGGGTAGTTTAAAGCTATATATTATAAAGAAAGGGGCTATCTTAATAGAGGTATATAGTTTACTATTTAACGTAAGTTAGGCCGCGGGGAGCTAACGGTCTTAGTCTACTTAGTTATAGGCTATAACGGCCTATAGGTAAGCCTACGCCTCCTAGTTAACCCTCTTAGGCCCTCTTTCGGTCTATAGGTAATATACTATACTAAGTAGCTATATAATCTAAAGTAGCTAGTATAGGTACTACTAAAAGTAGCTAGTCTAATTCGATCCCCTATCGCTTATAATAAAGGCTAGCTAGCTATACGAGCGGGCCTAGTACTATAGGAAGCGCTCTATATAGGACTCTATA